TCTCACAAGTCCCTCTGTAAAAATATGGTTGGAGCTCCACAGAGTCGCAGTGACAGACTGTTCAAATGCATGCCTGTGTAAATACAGACAGACTTAATATGCTGTATATTTAGGCGTTTGAATTAAGGGGAGAAATGCTTGAGCAGGTTATAATAGAAACACCAATGTGTGAAATATGCAGTGTAGAGGAAGCAAGGAATGTTTGACAGAAGGATCACAGTTCTGGCATGAAGATACAAAGGTCAGCAATTCGCCGATTAAAATAAACAGGCCTTTGCCTTCTGTTTGGCTCACCAAACCACAAATGCTTTGCCTCTTCCAGGAGCAGGAATAACAAAAGCAAAAACAAAATCATTAAGATCTGGTCTATTAGACTCCCTCCTCAGCACCGGCTGTGGCAGGGAAGCTTTGAAAGCACAGACGCCTCTTGGCCTTGGACACTTATCCTTTCACCCATAATTGGGGGATCTTATGTTTTAAGGAAGGAGACACATGTAGCTTAATGATGAAACTGCCTGTATTTATGTTATCTGTCATATTTACAGTCCTACAGTAAGCTGCATGTCTGACTCAAGGGCAGACTGCCTCTAAAATATACTTTGTTTATATTACTACATAATAGATTATTCATCTTTATTTCTGTGCTCCACATCACTCTTTCCACCTGTTTAAAACTTTTTATGAAAAGTTTCAAAAAGGCCTTAAAAGAAAAACATTCTAATCGATATATAAATGAACGTTATGTATTATACAAAGCATTCTGGCATTAATATTGTGTTGGATGGTGCTTTAAAAATTCATTTTTTGATAAACCTCTAATGGCATTTAGCTATTTAACCAATACCAAGCTTCATTTATTTGACTGTTTGGTTGACCACACAACTGCAAGCTGCTTTCTGCTCAGCCTGGGAGATGGGGGACACCCGCAATTGTTGCCTCATATTTGTTTAAACTTAAAATAGTTTGGGGAATTTTTATCTTACAGTAACTTATGCTTAATGTGTCAGATGCTTTATAAGCACAGTCGTGTGCTTTTTTTCTTACTTAGAACTCTTGAACCCTGTGACAGAAATTGATTGTTATCTTCATAATATTTACTTTAATGGAAGGTGCTAAACAAAACGTGTTATTTATTGAAGGCAAAAACCTTACAGTATAAGGTCAGAGGCAATGGTAAAAACAAAAAGACTCCAGTTAGGAGACAGGGGACAAAAGTGTAGGAGTAGGGGTAGCTGTTCCTCATGTTAAACCCAAGTCCTGATGATGTGGTTATTGCAGATTTCACGGCTCTTTTTAAAAAAGACAGGTGGTATTAACCTTCGTGTTGAGTCTAAAGTTTATTCTGAGATGACAAAACCTGGGGTTCCTAATTCTACCCCTTAAATGAATGGATAAAGGAATTTCTAATTTCTCCTCCCGATCTGCTATGTAGTCCGTAGACGACGTGTGTCCAATTATCTATGTAATCTATGTATTTGGACTCCTTTGAGATGAAAACAACTGTATTAATGCAAATAAATACAGTACAGTATAATGTAAAATATTGATTGAATGAAGATGTAATGTTCAGCAACAGAGAGTTTAAATTGAACATTCTTTTTGCTTATAGAACTTCTCACTGAAAGCAAGACACTTCATACATTCATTTTCTTATGTTGCAATTTTTAACAAGAAACAGCTTTCCTGGAGAATGTAATGAAATAGCAGGTCAATGTACGATTTAGAGTTCTGTACTGAAATAAAAGCTGGTGCACTTAAAATGAAATGTGACTAAGAGGGAAAACAATCCCACAATATTAAACTTTATTTAATCAGACCACAGCCAGAAAAGTTAGTCAGCCATGGATTAGTTAAGCATTTGCTGACATTAAAGTCTTGAAGCCTGATCCTCCATTGCTAGCCAAGTGCTTAGTTTGATACAAAAGATAATATCTTCAAGGTTACATAATTCATTTATATAGGTTTGAGCCATATTTAGTAATAAGACTAGGAATGGTCTACATTTCCTGTTTCCAAGCAATGAGAAAGATATGTATAAATATATAACTTAGGCTCCCAAATGCCAGACATTTAAGAATGTATCATTGCTCACCACCAAAAAATGAATCAATGGTTTTCACCAGTATTTTCTTTAAAAAAAATAATTAACAGGAATGTCAAGGCCTCTTATTTCACTTTTTTTTTTACCAGTTTGGAAGAGAATTAAACGAATAAATTAAAGATGAAAAAGACCCTTCATAACCAATGGCTCACCGTTCCGTTCTCTGGTTTTAAACCATACACTGACATAAGTACAGAACATTGTAAAAGTACCCTTTTACAAGACAGAGTCTTCTTCCAGTTATGTCCAATGTTATTGAATTGCTAATGATCTTCACATCATGTTTGTGTAATTTTGAATATTTTTTATCAATCCTAAGACATTCTGAGATACTTCCACAATAGCAGCTTTTGTTACTCTGCAGGCACCTGCAAGATTGCAGTATTTACAGTGAAAGCCAAATCACTCCTCCAATCCCAGTTAAGTCCAGTGGGCCATATCACTCCCCCCCCATATGAGTGTAACATTTATATCAATAAAACTGAGTATAGTAGCGTTTCATGTTAGGAAGATACAAAAGTAAATTCCAATTTTTGAAGAAATGAAACAGCACATACTGTACTCCATTTCATCATTTGAACAAATATCATCAAGCCCAAGTTCTCCTCGTATTTCTAATACTTTAGTTTGCTTTACACTGAGCTTTTTCAAAATGATGGGATAACCTTGTCACTTGGGTGCTGTTAACAGTAACTTAAAATTTACCAGCAATCCCAAAAAAATAAATGTCAGAAATTTATACAGTAAGAGTTGTTTGTATTTCTCTGTATGGCATGATTTTTTTAATACATCATCTGCCAAAATAAAATGTAGGGAACTGTCGTATTGATTGGTTTAATTTGGAATACTGTAGAGGAACAGCAGGTAAGGTGACCTACAAACAACTTAACTATCTATGGGAGAGCTATCTGTGTGGGGTGCTATCTGCATTCTCCCCGTGTTCACATGTGTTTCCTCCAGGTCCTCCGGTTCTCTCTCACAGTCCAAAAACATTCTGGCAGGTTAATGAACTTCTGGGAAAATTGACCTGCCAGGATAGACTCCAGTTCTCCTGATCATTTTGAAGTGGATACAAAATGAATGGATGATGAGACTAGTGGCGTGCCACAAGGATCTATCTTCCCTTCCTTACTTCCTTAACCAGCAGCCATGTCACCCTGCAACTCACACCTACTGTAGCAACCCACTGCAGCTTAGCAGGTGTGAGCCTGGTCAGTACCTGGATGGGAGACCTCCTGGAAAAAGTTTGCTGCTGGAAGAGGTGTTAGTGGGGCCAGAAGGGGGCGCTCACCCTGTGGTCCATGTGGGTCCTAATGCCCCAGTATATAAATGTTAGCTATTATTATTATTATTATTATTATTATTATTATTATTATTATTATTATTATTATTATTATTATTACTTGTGATGAATGGTCTAGATTCTGGTAGAATAAGTAAATTAGTCAGGTTTTTGGACAAAATCAGACAGGAAGATTAGCAAACACTGTAGAAGCAGCAAATGAAATTCGAAAAGATTGAGACAGAATTCAAGGCTCAACAAACACAGGCAAATGGTCTGTGGTTAATGTAGACAAATGCTACTGTACTGTACATGTAAATAGTAAACATATACATTATAAATACTAAATGAGAAGCACAGAGCTAAAGCAATCTACTTATGAAATAAACTTAAGTGTGTATATTGACACATTGTTTACATCTTCTAGACCTTGCGGTGAAGTGACAAAAGATAAACAGAATGTTAGGACATGAATAAAAGAGCAGAATTTAAATCAATATATGATATTTTAAAATTGTACAATGCACTAGTGAGAACTTGTTTACAATAATGACTACAATTAGGGTCACCATGAGGTCCAAAAGGGCATTGCTTCTCTGGAACAAGTCTAGATAAGAATAAACAAACACATTGCTAAGTTTAAAGGAATGCCCTACTTTGAGAGGGTAAAAAACTGAACCTTTTAAGACTTGAACAGAGAGGACTACTGTATGACGGGACCTAATTCCAGTATTAAAAATCCTCAAAGGCATTGAAAAAGTTAATCCCATGATCTTTTTCAGAATCAGCAGTGAAATACAAATCATTGGATGCTTGTGGACAAAACTCAGACGGGAATGCACATGTTTATATTAAGGATTGTGTGAGCCTAGAACGATCCACCAAGCCATGTTGTTGAAGCTGAAAAATTGATTTGTTGCAAGGAACAGCTGGATGTTGTCCTTGGACCAATTACTAAACTGCTAAAAATCAAATGACAATGAACTTCTCTTGATTGTATGATTTTATGAATAGTCATTGGTCTAAAAATATGAGTATGAAAGATGATTCTCTATCTTGTATCGTGTGAGCCAAACAGAGACTGAAAGAGAGTCAGATTGTTGCAACTCTCATGACTAGATGATCAACAGATAAGGGCGCCACTAAGTGCAAACAGACTTTGCTTTAATGAATAAAAAAAACTCTATTCTAAGCTGAAATTGTTCTTTATTACCGGTGTTACCTGCACTGCATCCCATAATCTTTGATGTTTCATTGTTGCCGTGTAACCAAAGGCAGGTGCTGTGTCTGTCAACACACCCTAACACCTGTGACGAGATGAAGAGCTGCTGACATAATGTGAAGTCTGTTTGTTCTGCCTGGACAGAGGAATAACAGTGTGTCCCAAATTAATCGACACAATAAAGAACCAACCGTTTATCCAGTTTGGCAGCCCTATTGTGCGTAATCATTGTTTGTACAATGCAGTTTGAACCAATGCACAAACTATTCACAATTTGTTCTAAAAGTTGAACTCATCTTTAATTTAAAGTATTGTAGTAATTGAAAATTAATTAAGAACTATAACATGAAAGAAAAATACTAAATTCAAATAAAAAAATAACATTAAATTCCCAGAACTGACCCCACACACACCGTGTACAGTATCTACAAACAGTATCACTTCATCTGTCGATAATTATGCAGGCTTGTAGTGACAGAAAGGATTGACGGTCACATACTGGTATGTTTATTTCTCGGTCTGGTGGTGACAGTGGTAGAGGATCACACTGATGATTGAACGGATTAGTAAATGCTTTTATTTCAGTAAATCAAGTTTATGACAAATTCCCAGCTTTCTGTCTTTCAGAGCTCTTCTTGTAGTAGATTAGACTAAAATGAATACCTGTTGCTTTTAACCTCCCTTTTACATCTGCTTATAAGATCAGGCACTGCTGCTGACTTTTCAAAGGCATATACTGTAAACATAAATCCGGCACATAAATGGATCTCTTCACCTGATAACAAAAATGGCTTTGGATAGATTTGGTTGAAACATATACACGAGGCTGACCAATACCAAAGCCTGAAAATGTAAACTGTGTTAATCTAAATGTAAACTGTGGACAAGCAGTTGGAGAGATTTCACATTAAAAAAGTTGCAGAGATGGGTGGCATTGTGGTGCAATGGACAGCATTGCTGGGGTCTTGGGCTCAATTCAAGGCCCGGGGTGCTGTCTGTGTGGAGTACGCATTTTCTCACTGTGCTCCTGTGGGTTTCCTCTGGGTGCTCTGGTTTCTTCCCAAAGTCAGAAAACAAACTGGTATGTAATTAGCTTCTAGGAAAATTGTTCCTAGAGTGTGTGTGTATCTGTGTCTGTGCCTGTCTGCCCGGCAATGGACTGGCCTCCTGTCCAGAGGGCAGACTGCCTTGCACTTGTTGCTTACAAGATAGACTCAGACTCCCCCTTGACCCTGTCCTGGATTAAGCAGTTAGAAAATGGATGAATTAAAAGACTTGCCATTTGTTCTCGTGACTCCTTTAAGCGCTAAAACAAGCTTCCTTCGGTACTGAACATTTTTCGGACATTTCTTTGGTTAGTGCAGCGTGCTTCACTGCTCAGCGAAGATTCCCATCTCCACATTCAGCCTCTGAGCACTGCTCCAGTGAAGTTTCAGATCAGCGAGTTCAAACCTATTCCACTTTGGGAACGCTCACCGTGTTCTTCCACGTGGTTCTCAGCCATTCTCCCTCTTTGCCCTCACTCAAGCTCTCTCTGTACTGAAGCAGCTGACACCTCTATCTCTCGGGTCATTTTGTAAAAGTCCAGCCATTCTGTCTGTTTATTGACCAGCATCAGCAAATAATTGCTCCTGTTTCACGTCCAGGTTGGCGACCAAGCGGTTCTCTGTAGTCATACATATTTTGCCACCCCTTCTTTAAATCCTTTTCGCCTTCATAATTGTCAGCATTCCTCGGGAGACTGGAGTAAATCAGAACTTTGTGTCGTCATTGTCTAATTCTGCATCCGGCTCACGGGGTTCCTTTATTAGTTTCAGGGGCTCCTTCCTGTCAGTCTTGTTTTCATGGGCAGGGTCCTGTTGTCAGGCAAGCAGCACCAAATAAACGTTCAGTGTGTTTCGCCTGTACGTCGTATGAATTAGGATTTGCCGAACAATTGCACAGTACTGTAGCATTCCTACTGAGTGGTAAGAGTTTTTTTCTTAAAGAAACACAGAGCAATTTCAGAGGCAGTCTGAAATGGCTTAGTTTGAGAAATGGTTTTATAAAAAAAATTTAATCTGTTTTATTCACTAAACTAAATGTTTAACTAAACCAAAAAGTATATTTAACACTTAAAACACAAGACATATTCAAAAATCAAGTTACTTTAGTCAAAACCTACTTCTGTATATGAGCCGAGTAACAGTGTATATTCTGTATATGGTGAATATATTATATTTAATATATTTAGTATATTATGTTTTTTTTTTAAACAACTAAAAAGCTGCTGTAGTGGCTTCTTCTTTCTTCACACTGCAGCTGAGAAAATGACAGAGAGCCAAGAAAAGAAGGATGATGTCAGGGGGTCAACTTCATGCATGCTTACCTCTGCTTTACAGAAAAAAATGACAAACGTAACATGCATTTCTCATTGGGTTACCTGGCATAGCAAAAATAAAATGATTAACTTTTCTTTTATATTTCAGGCTCTGATGACCCCATAGCAGATGACTGTCTCAAACCATCCGATCTGATTTATCCTTAGTTACTTTCTTCAGTGAGCGGGTTGGTAACAATCCTTTTTAACCTGTCGTCTCCTAAGCACTGCTGTCCTTTCCTTAATCTTCGGCTACGTCTGTCAGTTGCTATGGAGACCAGAAATGAAAATAACACTAATAAGTTCACACGTTATGGGCACTTTGTCCAGGCATGTAGAAATGCACAGCTCTAGAACCTGGAATTGATACAGGTGCTGCGAAGAGATCTAAGACATTAAAAGAGAAAGAAAACCGCTTTATTAACTACTGTACCTGTATACGAGGTGTTATTTAAAAAGTAAGTCATTATTACATTTTATACTTGTTGTCTTTCGCAGAATAGTAACACAAAAAAACAAAGACAGTCAGCCCTGACTCAAGATCATACCACCTGCTAAATGGTTGCTATCTAACCCCAAAACACACCTAAAAGAATCAAACTTGTTTTTCTCTTGGTGGGCTCAAGATCTGGGGTTCACCCACAACGACAAGAAGAAGACCAGATGGTAAGTAGCAAGCCAAAAGGTTTTATTACTCAAAAACAAACTTTCTTCCAAAAACAGGACTTAAGAAGGACCCGTACTATACAGCACTGCCCAGGAACTATCTAATAAAGGGGGGAATAAGTGACTAATAAGTGTCAAAAGCACACCATAGTGTCCATGTACCTGCTCTGTCCAGGACCAAGGAGCGCACCAGGGGAGGGCCAACCGCAACAATGACAAAACAGAGGTGGAGGAGAAACAAAAGATAACTACCACTCTCTATCCCTCAGGCAGAGGGACAACACTTCAGCTCTCTTGTCTTGTGAAGCCAAACTGCAACAACACTTCCCTGAGCTGGGCAGCTTGTTCCATCCCAGCAAACTGTCCACTGTTCTCCCTTCTGCCACACCCACATCTGTACACAGGTCAGATGTACATAGCTGTCAGGCCTGTCTGGGCTGAGGAAAGTGAAACAACTAACAGCTCATTTCACACACGTCAGGTCGAAACAAGTTACAAACAAGTCCTACTTTATTAATGAAAACAAGTAAGGTTAATACAGTTAGAATAACTCAGAAACAAGATAGCCCGAGAGCTGGGTGTCTGCAACTCAATTAAATGAACTGAAATGAAAAGAGGAATTTAAAAAGCCCCCTTACTTTATTGTAAGTGTGATGAGGTAATCACACTGTACTGGGTAGAGGAAAAAAACAACATTAATATCTGTTTGGTGCCAAGAGTTCCAATGATTCTGTACTCTGTATTGCCTGAATCTGAAATCTTCTCCTCCCTTTTTAACTGATTGTATCCATACAGTATTTCTCACCCTGCCTCACCCCTAACTTTCTCGCTCTGGGTTGTCTCGTAGCTCTCACTCGATGTGCCATCTCCTGATTGTCCTCGTTCTGCCCCCTTCTCTCTGCAGGCCTGCTGCCGCATGTGATGTATTGTCCTAAACGCCTGTCCTCAGGTGAGTCCTCTCACAGGTCCTACAGTCCTATTAATCTCATAAACCTCTCCCCTCCCACTCTCCCCCCAGAAAATCGAATGAATTCTCTTGTATGTGAAAAAATATCCATCGATTTTCTAACAGCTGCCATCAGTTCAGTATCCTGGGGGAGCTGGAGTCTGTCTTGGCAAGCCACAGGGACAAGGCAGCAAACACCCTGAATGGGACACCAGTCCATCGCAGGGCAGACACAGTCACACTGATACTCTCACACCAGGGCCAGTTCACCCAGAAGCCAACTAACCTCCACGTACTTCCTTTGAACTGAAAGGAAGAAACCAGAGCACTCGGAGGACACTCAAGATGTCATGGGCAGAGCCAGAGCATACAACTGTAATGGAAGCGTTCTTTCCGGACCATATGCTGACGACACAATCCGGGGATGAGTGAAGAAAACACAGGGAAAAAGGCATGCAGGAGTCGGGAATGAAAACAGGGGGCGTGTCCTTGGTGCGCTGGTGTTTGGGGGAGGTGTGGCCGAGGCAAACAATCCAGAGCTGAGTCCAAAGGGGAATCCAAGACGGGCAAAAGTCCAAAGCCAGGCGATCCATCCAAGACAGACGTGATTAAAACAAGAACGGGGTCGGGACCGGCACAGGAATGAGAACGGGAACAGGGACAGAAACAGAAATTAAAACCTTGAAGGGACCAGGAGCTTCAAGGTCCCGAATTCGCCTGGTACGGGAACCAATGCAGAGCCCGGAACAGAGTTGGCATCTGGCTTTTAAAGGGGGCTGGAACAGGGAGCAGGTGTGGGAGATGAGTGAAAAACAAGGAAGGGCTGGAGCGTCCTTAAGAGGAGGGGTTTACGATCGTGACAATAACGTCCACATAGAGAGCACCAAAGGCCCAGAGCAACAGCAGTGTTACGAGGCAGCAAAGCTCATCACTGCACCACTGCGTCGCCCATGAATCAATGTACAAGCAAAAATATATCAAAGATATAGAATGTAATAATAGAATATAAATATATAAATAAATAAGAAAAATCGTGGGTAGAGCAACGTTGAGTTATATGTCCTATTTTTCCACAACATCCTCCTTTTTTGTAAAAGGCTCAATTTTCAGGTTGATTCTTTTAACTGTTAAGTAAAATGATACATTGGCTCTGGCAAAAAGAGTCCCAGTACTCCTTAAATCTGAGTCTCCACAGCCCATACAAGAGGACAAACACTGACTAAAATGACTTCGCCACTGGAAGACTTATGGTGATATTGACGCTGATAAGCGTTGACACTGCTGAGAATGACTGAAGATTATACCGGCTAAATTAGTTTACAAAAGCTTTTTTCTGTTCTAGTCATTTTTCAAAACATCTCCCTGTAACCTGAGCTGGTCTTTTTCCATAGAGTCAGAATGTTCCGGGCTTGGTCAAAAGACGAATTCACCTCACACGGTTTCCTCCAGTGGCTTTGTTGCCCTCACAGGGGAGTGAAAATAAAACCAGCTACCATGTTCCCTGACTGGATGTGTACCTTGAGAGTACAAGGGCTGAATAAAACCCACACAGTCACTGAGTCTCATCCAGTGCTTTAGAAATGAAATGGAAAAAATATCCATTACACAGAGTTTCTGAAAATAGAGACATGGACAAAATTAAATTAAATAGGGCTGTGCTTTATGTTGATTTCTATCTCAATGACAACTGCACGCATAATTCCTCAGAAGCACAAAGTCAAAGGAAAATAGTGGATGAGGGTGCCTAAATCTTAATCTTTTATATCTTGAGATATCCATTTAATGCCCTTTGCGTATTAATTACCCTTTAATACCACTATAGCTCATATCTAAACTGGATGGAGCACAGAGGTGAAAGCTTCTTCGTCTAGTGTAGGTACTGTAACATTATGATTATTTATTCATTGATTGCATGAGTGCTTACTCTGTTCTTGGGCTGCATACTATATAATCAAGAATTCAATGTAAATCATGCAGTTAAAAAAGGTTTAAATTTTTCTTTCTCTGGGTATTGTAAAAATCTGCAATTATTTATTGAACTTGTGAAAAGAGTAATAGCTCTTGGGTCTCATAATCATTTCGCACAATCAGAAACACAAGAATGACTTAACCTTTAGTCTTGACAGGTATAGACAAAAAATACAATTATAGGCTCTTCATGTGCATGTAACATTAATATTCACACTGAATTTCCTACTAAAATATTTCATGGTTTTAATGTTGATCTTGTGTATTTAGTTATACATGACTGAGTCTGTAGTATAATCTGTTCTACAATATAAAAGTGGCTCATACAATAATAATTTAAAACATACTAACAATATTTTCTAGTCCAAAAGGTAATAATACAGCTGACGTGCTTTTATTTGCATTTCTTTACAAAGTGAAACTTCATTTCTGAGCCAGACTTGATTGAGTAATAATATCATGTTGCTCATAACTAAACTACTTCCTCAGCAAAACCATTGTTCGATATCTTTCTCGAACTTAGGTTCCCAAGGTGCTTTTGAAATTCATTGTGGTTCGACAGCTTTGGTTAGATTCTGGGCTCCTCTATGAATTAGGGGTTCACCTGGACATATTTAATTTGAAAAACATGTAACCACACACATGCACTCCAAAGCTAGATAATGGATGAATTGCTTTGTGCTAAGATTGGGCACAAAGAAGTCATTTCTTTAAACTGGTGGTGAGTGACAGGTGTTTCCAGAGTCAACAAACCTCATGAGACCAGAAAATGTCAAGTGCTCTTTAGGACAACTTTCTCTTAGTGTGCAGAGCTTGTTTTAAGCTGCTTTGAATTAAAAAAAAATATGTACAGAAAATTGAAGAAGGAGTTTGGTACAGAAGGTACAGTAAATTACACTCTCCAGAATAAAAAAGAAACATCTGTGATTCTTGTGAGTCATGACAGTAACTATTTTGGTCTAGCATGTTGCTTTAAAGCGTATTTTTGTTCTCAACAACAACAAACACAATAATATATCTATATTTTTAATTATTAAATTTTTGTGCAATTTAGGATCTTAGACATCTTCTGTAAGAATATGCCTCAGGATCAGACCTGGAAAGATCTACAACTGAAGCTTCGTGACCCTTTTAAAAAATCTCTTAATTGCCCCAGCTGTGCATAAAACTTCTGTAATAAAACTTCCAAATACAGGAACATGATTTCTGGGTGTCATCTACTCAGCAGGGACAATAGAACAATGTTTTCACACTCTTTAACATTTAGCCAATCAATCTATTAATTTCTATCCAGTCCTCTGAGCATAGTCCTCTTGACACACATGCTTCAAGAGCAAGACTGGGAAAGATCCATCATAGTTGTTCCATGGGACAGGCTAGTGTACAGACATATATCCCATGGAGGACAAGTTTAATGCATCTGTTCTATTTTCATGTCAGACCGTGTCACCAGCCAGTATCCACAGCCAAGGAATGAATCACCTACACTTTGCCAAGGGCACCATAAATGCTGAAGACATAAATAGTTCATTAGATCTAGGAAAGAAAAATAACATAAAGGAAAACTAATAAAAAATGCCTCTTTGATAAAATTTATCTACCAAGAAAAACAACAATAATGCTCTTCCCAAATGGTTTATTTTACTGGGCTTTTATAAAGCATTTGCTAAACTGACTATGTGATCTGGAGTTATAGCTTACAGCAGCAATGAGACAAGTGTCTTATTTATTCCGAGCAATTGTAACTTCTCCATCTGATATTGTGGTGAGCTATTTTTAGAATTGAAATCATGCCATTAAATTATTCAGCTGTTCTTATAGCTGCAGAAATCAGGCCCATGATCATTTTAAAGCGTTTTAAAATTAAAATGATATTGCCAATAAGAATAGAGACAGTGGGAATTACTTTGAAGGTACTGAGTAGGTGTTAACCCTGGTGTCCTGGCTAAATCGCTCTCCAGGCTTGTTCACTCTGGTCTTCCTGCAGTTTCCTTTTAATTCAATTAGAAGTGAAGCAGGTTCTCACTTCTCCAGCTGATCCACTGTGTAGTGGGGCTGCTGGTGCAGAACAGTGGCCTTGTGTCACCCAGGTGGGAGCTGTACTTCAGTGGCATATGCAGTGGGAGCCCTCTTATATCATCTGAAGGTTCTCTAAGAACATTTGGGAATAAAAATGGAAGGAATTGTTTGTATCATTGACATGAAACTCAGACTGCTGCATTTTCATTGTGCATCTGAATACATTTTTCCTTCAACAGCACACAATAATAAGATCTCATTACATTGTGTTCAAGAAAAAAATACATTGATTTAGGAGATTATTTAATGATACATTCTCGTTGATAGAATGCACTGGGTTGTAAATTGATCCAAATGAAACAGTTTTTTTTATCATGGTTTATGAATTCCAATGCAATGAATATGTGATAAAGGCTATGTTTACGTTTCATAAAAATAAGGAAAATCACCTTTTCCTGACTGTGATTTAGATTCCCTGAGCAGCAGCACACAGTTTGTTGAGCATTGTCGCAACAGAATTCAGATGCACTGGACAATGCCTGTGGATTGCATGTGCAATGTCCAGACTTTCATTCACACTTCTTCACCTTTAGGTCCTGTGCAGTAATGTGTCAGATGAAACAGGCGGGTGTACCACTGTCCACTTGTATCATTGTGTCTTGGGTGCGTACAGGACCCGTTACTGCAAAGTCCAGCCTTCAAACAAGTGGCGAGTCCAAATTAGGGGGAATTTGGTCCCAAAAAGTAGTGCAAAAAAAGAATTAATTGACTTTCCAAAAATTTAGGAAAGAAAAACTTTGTCTTCGGCAGGTAATGATTTTTTTTAAGTGATTCTGTATCGTGTAGTTCTGGGAAAATCTGTGAATAGGTAGGTCAAATTATATCACAATGTTACAATGGACAAGTGCCCCATAAAAGTCCTGGAGAATATGTCTTTACTTTTGTATTGGGTAGTAAAAATAACAGGGTATGCTCCTTGGACTTATTTTTCTGCTGTGTTTTCCGAGCAGAATTGGAGAAAACTATGCATCATTTTGTCTTGAAGCCTCATTTGTTACAATAAGAAAAGGTATCAATGGGTGTCCTGGAAACATAATTATGCAGGGAAAATTTTACCATTTTGGTTTGGAAGATAATGCTTACAAAATATTTGTGAGACATTATTTATCAAAAGGAGAAATAATAAGGTTACATATGTGGAACTTACTGTGATACAGAAAGGCGAATGCAATGTGGTATTCACAAATATCGTCAAACCGCAAATATACTGTAGCTGTGACAGCGAACAGTGTGAACAAAACAGGATTATACTGAACTAATTTGTTTGATCAATTTTTATCCTGTTGTCCAGTACTGCCAATGTGACCTTTACATCAGTACAAAACAGCTTCTTTATCCTTGAGATGTAATGTGTACAGAAAAGTGTTTAGT